ATGCTATGTGGAGGAGTGTATTTTTAAGTTAAAGAGATATTGAATGAAAATTTATTAGTTTAAGTATGTATATTTGAGTTAAGAATATTAAAGGAAGTGAAATAGGAAGTGTGGAACTGAAAATGAAGTAATTTTTGAGCTCAAAATGTGATTTCTGAGCTAGGGGAATCGGTACCCATTCAAGGGGAATCAATACCCTCTCAAACGAACCAGAATTTACAGAATGTCATGGGGGAAACTGATACCCCCACAGGAGGGAACCGATTCCCCCCTAAAGGAAAGTTGTGAATATTGGTTTAATAGGTTCATGTAAGTTGCTAGTATCCAATTACAAGGTGTAGGTATCTAATAATTGCCTTAAAATGTACATTTATGTAGATTCTAAGCGTAAAGCAATTCCGGAATATTTGGCAAGTAAGATCGATCAAGGAAAAGATAAGAGATCGGTATTGACTAGTGAGGCCAGATGAATGCATATTATTATAATATACGTATTGAATATGGAAATTGGACTTGCGACAAGTCTGTTTCCAATATGATTGTAGGAGTAGAAGTATGATTATGTTTGATATTGCGTGAATATGTTTTGTTCGTATTATATGTTATGTGGTATAAATTTATATGATATGAGTTATATGACAATGATTTATGTATTATAGGAAAATTGTTATATGAACATGTGATATAAGTTATAGGATCACAAATTATGTAAGGTAACCACGACTTATGTGTTAACAAGAGAAAGTGACATAAAATATGAAACAAGATATAAATTACCTGATTTAGATATAAGGGAATTGGTGGAATCAACTTAAGGGATTAAATAAAATGTGAGATAAGTTAAATAAAATTGACCTATAGAACAATATGAGATTAATAGATATATATATATATATTAGGAGATATTGATAGAACTGATTATAGGGATATGTAAGACCAATTATATGGTAAAGATCTATGAAGCTATAGGAATATGTTATAGGAGCTTTTGATGATAATTTATTAAAAGACTTGCATATGCGATAAGTATGTGAAACTGAATTAGGTAAACATGTGTAAAGGTTATATAAATAATAGAAATATAAATGAGACAAGTAAGTAATGATATGATAAATTATGGGAAATTGTGCATTAGAGTTATAAGATTTATGGAGAATGGAGGAAAACTAGATAAGACTGAACTATAAAAGGAACTGAGAATAATATATCACTTAGGAGATTTGGATATAAAATGATGATATGCACATAGAATATAAAATGCATGTTTATAAATATGACCATGAATGATGTGAATAGGAATAATTTAAGTACTATATAACTATGAGTATTTGAGTATGTATCTAGGTGATGTGATGTATGAGGTCGTATGAAATATTATAAGACTCTTTGATTATATGAGAAACCAAATAGGTACAGGTGAATTATATGGAAATGAACTACGTGAATGGGTGTGATCTTATGAAAATTTATGATGAGCCATGTGAATGAACTATAAGATTATGTGTATATGTAATTATGAAAAGTCATAATAATAGAATGTAAGCAAGGTGTCAAGAAATGTAAAATGACACGAAAGGTTATATAAGCTACGTGATATGTGAAAGTGAACTATGTGTTATGTGAAATGATAAATATAAAAGAAAATACCCATGTTATGTGTCTTGAGAGCTAGGGTATAGTTGGCATGCCAAGAGTCGAGGGTCTACGCGGTCCTTCGGGATATATACATATTCTTTGGAACATGTGTGAAGTCTTGTGAGACACATACTTGATCCCTATTATATGTATATGATTCTTAAGAAATGATATGTGGTCCTTATGGACATTATTATATGGCAATATGGTGCAATTCTACGCGGCACTCCGGTGCAATTCTACGTGGCACTTCGGTGCAATTATATGAGTTGTGGTGACAGCATTAGTGCACAACCTCTATAGACTCACATATCTATGGTTCTCACATGTGTACATGGGCTAATAAAGGAAATAATATAAAAGAACCTTGCATGATAGTATGTGATTGGTTTGTAATCTTTATGGTGTGAAGTGATATATGTGATATGATGATGTGTATATAGCTTGGTTAAGAGGAATTGATAGAAGAACATATAACAAAAAGATAAAGAACGAAAATAAGACTAATAAAGAGATAATAATAAATACCTTACATATGATTTACATGTTTTGTGCTAAGAAACATGTTATAAGAATATGTGAATGATGAGTGTGTACAAGTGGATAGTGGTTGCATGACAGAATGTATGATTTTGTATGATATAATAAGTATAGATTATGAATGCATTAGTAGTGGTTATATGTTTTTATGCCTCACTAAGTCATCGACTTAGCGTGTAAGTGTTTCACACGTAGGTTCCGGAAAGCTAGAAGAAATGTGAAGAGGAGCAAGACCGGTCAGTTACTTCTTACCGAATATCAGATCAGAAAAGATGTCTTGAATTAGATGTATTCTGTAAATTGAATATAGTTGACATGTACTAATTGATTGAGTTAAACAAACCGCTGTGACTTTAATGAAAGTTTTAAATTTTCTCGAGTTTTTGTCATTAGTCAAAGTTTGAAAAGTCAATGTTACACCTCGGACTCGTATCCGGGTCGGGTACGGGTTGGGGGTGTTACAGTCTCCATCTTGATCCCATTGTTTGCGCATAAATCTCTGAATCTCCTATTTCTATACTCTCCTCCATTGTCAAACCTCAACCGCTTGTCTTTCAGACCAGTCTCATTTTCCACCATGGCCTTCCATTTTCTGAAGGTATCAAAGACTTCTGATTTCTTCTTCAGAAAATAAACCCACACATTCCTTGTAGAATCATCGATGAAGGTAACATAATATAATGAGCCTGCAAGAGATGGAATTGGAGATGGTCCCCATACATCAGTATGAACCAACTCTAAATTTTCAGCCTTGGGTGTCTTACCAATCTTTGCAAAGCTGACTTTCTTTTGTTTGCCAAAGATGCAATCCTCGCATAGTCCGACATCTACATTCTTTAGATCCGGCAGCTTCCCTTTTGATAAAAGTGTTTTCATCCCTTTTTCGCTCATATGACCAAGCCTTTGGTGTCATAGGTTTGATTTTCTATCAGCATCTGCTGCAACAATGATATTCTCTAAGTTTGAGGTTACATAGAGAGTACCAGTCTTCTTACCACGAGCAATGACGAGTGCTCCTTTGGTAATCTTCCATTCACAGCCTGAAAAAGTTGTACTATATCCTTCTCCATCAAGTTGTCCTACAGAAATCAAATTCCTTTTGAGGTCAGGAATATGTCTCACTCCTGTCAGCTTCCAGGTGGTCTGGTTTGGCAACTTTAATCGGATGTCTCATTTTCCGACGATCTTCAAGGTTTCATCATCAGCTAGATGAACCTTCCCAAAATCACCACTGACATAGTTCTCCATGATTTCTTGGCATGGGGTGGAGTGGAAAGATGCTCCTGAATCCAAGATTCATGATTCAATCGGACTGTTGACGCTTAGAATCATGGCATCACCTGTATCCTCTGTCACGTTGGCAGATTCCTGTGCGCCGATATTTTTCTTCGGTACTCGACAATCCTTTTTAAGGTGGCCCTTCTTGTCGCATTTATAACAGATAAAATCTTTCTTTCCCGTTCTTGATTTTCCTGTTCTGGATTTGGATCTGCCACTATTTGAATTTCTTTCTGAAGTTCTCCCTCTGGACTCCGTGTGCAAGGCTGAGGAGGTTGATGCTTCACCCGATTCTCTCCGTCGAATTTCTTCACTCAATATCAGATCCCGAACATCGTCGAATTTTAATTTGCTGTTTCCCGACGAGCTGCTGACTGCTGTAACAATAGCATTCCAATTGTCTGGTAGAGACGATAAGAGAATTAAAGCTCGAACTTCATCATCAAATTCAATTTCCACGGAACTCAACTGGGTTGTGATTGTGTTGAGTTCATTTAGGTGTTGAGCCACCGATGCCCCTTCCGCCATCCGCAAATTGAACAATCGCCTCATCAAATGAACTTTGTTTGAGGCTGATGGCTTCTCATACATACTAAAGAGAGCTGCCATAAGACCCGCCGTGGTCTTTTCCTTTGCTATGTTGAAAGCAACATTGCGGGATAACGTCAGTCGGATAACTCCGAGGGCTTGTCTGTCGAGAAGAGCCCAGTCTTCATTCTTCATGTCCTCTGGTTGCTTTCCTGAGAGTGGTTGATATAGATTTTTCTGGTACAGAAAATATTCAATCTGCATCTTCCAAAAGCCAAAGTCCGTACCATCGAACTTTTCAATTTTTACCTTCCCTTCGTCTGCAGCCATCGCTCCCACTCGAATCTGGCTTCTTTGGATCATTCTGACAATTTTCGCGAACCGCCGTGTATTAGAACACCTCTGTCGAAAAATTTGTATCGTCGACAAAAATTCACTATTCACATGAATAGTAATGAATAGTAACCTCGCAAAAATTGACAAAATTCACAACCAAAAGCTCTGATTACCGGTTGTTGAGAAATAAACAGAGTACGAGTAATTTCCCTATAACCATATTAGTAAGAATGCGAAATAAAAGCGGAAAAATAATACCCGAAAATTAATAACGGAGTTCAGCCAATTGTGCTTACGTCTTCGGACTGTTGCAGATCTTTTACTAAGAGATAAAATTTACAGGTGTTTACAAAACACTCACTACTCACAAGAAACTCTCTAGTATTGGGAGAAAGAAATGATTTGGGATTTGGGATGATTTTGAAGCTAAATGAGCTAGGGTATTTATAGTTGAAACTTAGGTACTAATCTTTGAAAATACCTTACAGTGCAATGACTAAAGTGAATTTACTCATTCCTATTTTCAACAAACATCTACCAAACTTTACCAAACTTTAAAAAATATTTTTTAAAGAAATATTTACAAAACTTTGAAAACCATTTTCAAAGAAACATTTACCGAACTTTAAAAACCATTTTCAAAGTTGGTTGCCAACCTTTGGACTTTTAACATTGACGATTCAATGTCTAAGGCTCAAATCCATCTCCAGCTCAGGTGTCGAGCCCTCTTGTTTGATAAAGCCACAATCGCTCTCTTCCTCGGATGCCATCCTACCAACGCCGCTAATTCTTCTTCTTCAGTTGCCGTTTCAATGCTTAATCCAAATTGTAAGATGTTTTTCACAATTACGAACTGACTGAAAGTATTTAGTTATTTGAAAAAAGAAACTAGATCTTTTTTTAGCTTCGGTTAGATTTACAATTGCACGGTGATGTCGTGTACTTTACTTTGGAGGGCTCGTCACAGGATGGTGGTGCTGCATCTAATACGGCACCCTCCAAGGTTTGGCTTTTCTCTTTACTTCAGTGTTCAGTTTTACAGTTTCTTGCGTGCATATATCAGTGAATAATGGAAACAAAAATTATTTTGTATTTCAAACAACTGAGTGCATGATGAAAATTAATTATCACTTCGGTTATAGTATTTTTGTGTAAAACTAAAATCATGCACTTGCTTTTAGAAAATTAAAGAAGACTTCTTTTTTTTTTTTACTTTTCATCTTTTAGAAGTTATATTTGATTTTTACAACCAAATATATTTACCCTTTCCTTGTGTTAATCGTAAGTTTTTAATCATTCCATGTTTTTCGGAAACCTCATTTGATTCTTACATCCAACTGATGTTTCCCTTTCCTACTGTATGTCTAACTGAAAGTTTCTAACTAGTTCCTGTTTTATGGAAATCAGTCAAAATTGTCTTTTAGTGCTGGATCGAGGTATGGTGAATCAGAATTTGATAGTTTATCCCAGAGACATAGGAACGAAGAGTTGCCAGAGACTTGGTATAATAAATTTATTGAGAAGTATAAACTTACAAGACCCTATAAGTTGTCTTTTGGGGATCGAGAGTCTGAAGAACGTACTCTAGAGGAAATGACTAAGTATCTTAGAACGCTCGAGAAGCATAAGAGAAGACAAGCGGCATTTCAGGATGATCAGTATACAGGATATGGAAATACTGATCTAGATGGCAATAACTCAGCCGATGACGACACCCCTTTCTTCCCTGAAACAAAGTTTACAATGAACTGTGTACCTGATAGTCCCCTCCCTCCAACAAGTAGAGTGCTGGATAAGAAGGCAATAGTGTCTTATGGAGTTCTTGATACTCTACCACAGGTTTCAAACCGAAGTTCTGTTATGATCGAGAGGCTTGGTTTAATGCCTGAGTACCTTAATATGGAACAGGGTGCAAACATAAATAGCAGGAAGACTCCCAAGAAGCATCTTAGTCAGGAGCAAGCATCACAGAATTCTCGAAAGGTCATAGCATGGTTACTGACTGGTGTCGGGTTTGAAGATGCCACAGAAGCTCCAGTGGAAGTCTTCTCTCAGTTTCTCAGCTGTCATATTTCTAAACTTGGTCGTAATCTAAAAGCTCTGACTGATAATTACAGAAAACAATGTTCAGCCATTGAACTAATCGGGATGTTCCTTCAAACATCAGGATATAGGTAAATTTGAAATTCAATTCGCTTTACTTTATGGCATTGGTTCTAAGTTCAATGTACTGCTTTGAACTTCCTAAAACCGTTATTTTGGTGCTCTAGTTAATTGGTCTAGAATATTATAGAAGAGAATGCATGTTGCATGGGGGCACTGTCATGTAACCTTCCTTGCACATTTGGGTGGCGGAAAAACTTTTGATTTTGATTTCCCTTGAATTTTAAATTCGAATTTTTTTAGAATAGCCTATGCATAAGTTTATGGTTTGAAGTGAATGTACATTTACATCTTTCATCATGACCTGAGAATCATAATTTCAGTATTAAGACATATTATATTGATGCCTTATTTAGACAGTTTCTGACAAAAAGCCCGTTCATCTTGGATAAGAGCTAAACTACTGGTCTAAAACTTGCCTTTCCCTTTGAATTAGGTTGTTATATATATAATGTATGTCTGTATGTATGTCTTTTTGTATGACTTTTCATATTCTCAACTTTTTGATGTTTCGTACACCTGTCTCCTTTTTGCACACTTAATTTTATCCCCTTTATTTGAAGGTTTCTCTCTTTGATGCATTATCTAACATGATTTCTAATTGCAGTAACTTTGGGGTTCTAGCTGAATTTGTCAAATATATTGATAGAGAATTGAGAATGAATACCTGATTAATGATCACGTGAGGAGCATGAGGCGTTAATTACCATTAGGAGAGATGAGCCAGGATCACAGCAGCAAGCCCAGTTGATGGCCCTTTAGTTGAGAAAATATCAAACGGTTATTTAGAATCTACAGTTGGCATTAGTTAGATTTGCTGGTACCATGTAAACAAATAAAACAATACTGTGTAAAGGGACAATTAAGCATTATTTTTGAATGAAAAATCCTCTTTCTGTATCTCTATTCTGCTCCTTACTCTACGATTCTTCTTCTCCATTTCCCTAAATTATCTTATTCATCACAAATTGGTATCGAGAGCCTCGGTTTCTGGCAAGTGGTGGCATGCCCAAGAAAAATCAGAACATGGCAGAAGAATTAGCTGAGTTGCAGAAACAAATGGAGGAATTGACAGCACTCGTGAAACAAGGAAAAGATGAGTCTAATCCTCCTAAATGGTGGGAGACTAAAGAAAACATGATTTCTGCATTGGAGTCTAGGATGGCTATGAATCATGGTTATGTTGCGGAAATTTTAAAGATTCTGACTGGTAGGAAGGAGGACCAAGACCAGTCTGTTGAAAATTAGGTACAGACCCCTGACTCATCTAATTTGAGTAGCAAACAACCTGTTAAAGTGACAGTAATTAATGATAAGACTCGGTTTACTTATAAACCGGATGAACCTGGGATTCTGAAGTCTAAACCGAATGATTTGCCTGTTCATCTAGCTAGCTTCAAAAATGATAACCAAATGGGGGAGAACAGTGCTGCAAGAAATCAGTTAATGGCTTTAGAAGTGGATAAAAGGGGTACAGGGGGGTCTTCTAATATGGCAGGGATTATGCTACATAGACCAAAAATTGAGCTACCTTTTTTTGATGGAAGTAATCCAAGAGGTTGGCTACAGAAATGCTTAAAATATTTTTCATTATGTAGTATTGATGAGGAGCAAAGAGTGGAAGTAGCTACAATGTATTTAACTGGTAAAGCAGAAATTTGGTTTGATGGTTATATTATGCAAAAACATCATGTAACCTGGCATGAGTTTGAGGCAGATTTATGTCATAGGTTCTGTGATAAAGTCTTTGTGGATATAGTGTAGGAGTTTACAAAATTAGTCCAGAAAGGGTCTGTAGAAGAATATCAAGACAGATTTGAAGAGTTACAACCTCACATGCTTTTACAGAATCCTAATTTAGGTGAAGAATTTTTTGTCTCTTTGTTTATTAGTGGATTAAGGGATGACATTAAACATAGAGTCAAAGTTCTAGCCCCTAAAACATTGTCTGAGGCAAGCAGGCAAGCTAAATTATATGAGCTATCTGTTGAATTTGAGAACAAAAGATTCAGACCTTTGGTTGAAAATCCAGCTTATTCAAACCCTCTACCAGGTTCTAAGCCTAACCAACTGCCATTACCACAAAAGAATGTATTCAATACTCCACAAAGACATAACTTGATAAACTACAGAAGAAAAAACAATTTATGTTTTAAGTGTGGTGAAAAATTTGTTCCAGGCCATCAGTGTAAGGTAAAACAGTTAAATATGATGATTGAGGATGACACTGTTATACCTTCAGTTACCCACTGATTTGGAACAGCATAATCTACAGGAGGAGGAGAACCTAGAAATATCAATGAATGCTATCACAGGTTGTATTGGCCATAATACATTAAGGATTCAGGGCACTATTCAAGAGAGACCATTGAATATTCTGATTGACAATGGGAGTACCCACTGTTTCCTAACACCTCAGTGGGTTGATGCTGGTATTTTAGTGAATACACCTTATCCTTTGGCTATTACAGTGGCTAATTGACAACAACTTTATAGTTCAGCAAGGTGTAATAAGGTGGAATGGCAGATGAAAGGTCATTCTTTTGTTCATGACTTTAGATTCCTAAAATTGGGGGGCAGTGATATGGTGTTAGGGGTGGATTGGATGAAATTATTCAGTCCAATTTTGATGGACTTTAACAAATTGACTCTAAGTTTTGTTCATCAAGAGGAAAATATTATTATACATGGCCAGCAACCCTTAAATTTTTTGCAACAAATTTCAGGGGCTACTTTGCTAAAAATGACAGCTTCTGATTCTGCTATTTTGGGCCATGTGGTGTTGTTATCTATGTTTGAGGATTCAAAGACTATTCCTGCAGCTCTACAACCTCTCTTAAAAATATATCAGTATGTTTTTGATGAACCTACAGGTCTACCACCTACAAGGAATCATGATCATGCCATTCCTTTAAAACCTGAGTCTGCTCCTATAAATTTGAGACCTTACAGATTTCCACATAATCAGAAGGAGGAGGTGGAAAAACAGATAGCTACCATGCTCTCCTCTTCTATAATTCAACCTAGCAAAAGTTCTTTTGCTTCTCCTTGTCTTCTTATAAAGAAGAAGGATGGGACTTGGAGATTCTGTGTTGATTACAGAAAACTAAATAGTATGACTGTGAAAGACAAGTTCCCTATTCCTGTTGTGGAGGACCTCTTAGATGAACTACATAGAGCAGTTTACTTTTCAAAAATTGGTCTCAGGTCTAGTTATTGGCAAATCAGAATTAAGGCTGAGGATATTTACAAAACAGCATTCAGAACTCATCAGGGTCATTATGAATTCAAGGTAATGCCTTTTGGGCTTACTAATGCCCCTGCTACATTTCAAGCTCTAATGAATGACTTGTTTAGTTCATTTCTTAGAAAATTTGTTTTGGTATTTTTTGATGATATCCTAGTAAACAACACCTCTATGAATGATCATATTACTCATTTGGAACTGGTTTTGGAGATATTATACACTAACCAGTTATTTGCCAAGTTGTCCAAATGTTTCTTTGGACAGACTCAGGTAGAGTATTTGGGTCATATTATATCAGCTGCTGGAGTTTCAACTGATCCCACTAAGGTGGAATCTATGAGGAATTAGCCTATTCCTAAATCTTTAAAGTCTTTGTGTGGTTTTTTGGGATTGACAGGATATTACATGAGATTTATAAAGGATTATGGAACGATCAGTAAGCCATTGACACAAATGCTTAAGAAGGATAGTTTTACCTGGAGCAGTGAAGCTTTACATGCTTTTGAAGACTTGAAGCAAGCCATGTGTACTGCTCGAGTTCTAGCTTTACCAGATTTTGGTAAGCAGTTTTATTTGGAAACATATGCCAGTTCAGGAGGCATTGGGCCAGTTTTAACTCAGGATGACAGACCTATTTCTTACCTTAGTAAGGCCCTTAGCCCTAGACATGTTGCCCTCTCGATATATGAAAGGGAGTACTTGGCTATTTTACTAGCAGTCTCTAAATGGAGTCATTATCTAGAGAGCACTCATTTTATAATCAAGACAGATCATGAATCTCTGAAATATCTGTTGGAGCAGAAGTTGACTACTGTTATTCAAAAGAGGGGGTTGACTAAATTATTGGGCTTGGATTATACTATTCAATATAGAAAAGGTAAGTCCAATATAGTAGCCGATGCACTATCTAGACAATGGGAAGATCAAGCTCACTGTTTTGCAATGGGGACTACCTTGATTATTCCTAATTGGGTTCATCAGATTGAGGAAAGTTATAAAGAGGATTCAGTAGCTACTGAATGGATTTCTGTCTTAACTATCAATCCTAATGCAGACTCTAAATGGAAATACTCTAGAGGTATCCTTAGATATAAGGATAGAGTTTATATTGGTGTTGCTGGAGATCTGAGATTACAAATTCTTCAAACCCTACATGATTCACCTCATGGAGGTCATTCTGGAATTCAGGCTACTTATCAGAAGATTAGAGCTTGTTTCTACTGGCCTAAGTTGAAATTTATGGTGGCAACTTACATCAGGTCTTGTTCTGTATGTCAACAGACTAAAGTAGAGCATATTCCTAAACCAGGACTTTTACAGCCATTACCTATTCCTCAACAGGATTGGGAGGTAATCACTATGGACTTTATAGAAGGTTTACCTACATCCTTGAGGAAGAATTGCATTCTGGTAGTAGTTGATAAATTTACAAAATACAACCATTTTTTAGCATTATCACACCCTTATTCTGCATCTGATGTGGCTAAACTGTATTTGGATAATGTCTACAAGCTTCATGGGCAGCCTAAGTTAGCCATTTCTGACAGAGACAAAACATTCACTAGTCTCTTTTGGAGAGAACTAATGAAACAATTGGGGTCTAAAACCTTATTCAGTACTGCTTGCCATCCAGAGACTGATGGTCAGACAGAAAGGGTTAACCAATGCTTGGAGCAATATCTAAGGAGATTATGTTTTTTTCAACCAAAGCACTGGGCTAAATGGTTGCCTCATGCAGAATGGTGGTATAATACTACCTACCATTCTGCCCTAAAGATCACACCTTTTCAAGCACTTTATGGGTACAAACCACCTACTATGGTTTGGTACACAGAAATTAAAGTGCAATCTGTTAATGAACTAATGCGTAGCAGAGAAGATATTCGAAAGCTAGTTAAAGAACAACTTGAGATAGCAAGTAACGGAATGAAACAAAAAGCAGACAAACACAGATCAGAAAGAGTTTTTGAAGTGGGGATTCTGTTTACCTGAAGTTGCAACCTTATCAACAGACGACATTAGCCCTGCGAAAGAATTTAAAATTAGCAGCAAAATTCTATGGGCCATATAAGATTATAGAGAGAATCGGGGAAGTGGTCTACTGTTTGAACTTACCTGAAACATCGAGGTTGCATCATGTCTTTCATGTTAGTCTTTTGAAGAAACACATTGGTAATTCTGTCATTTCCTCTACGGACCCTCCTGCCATAGACACAGAGGATCAGTTTCGAATCGAACCATATACAGTTTTGGGAAGACGAATCATTAATCGCCAAAACAGACTTGTGACTCAGTTGTTGGTGCGGTGGACGAACCTTGATGAGACACATGATACTTGGGAGGATTATACTGTTCTTTAAGGCCAGTTTCCAGGCTTCGATCCTTGGGGACAAGGATCATCTCCAGCGGCGGGTATTGTCAGGAGAGAAGAGAGAAGAAAAGAAGGAAGCGAAGATGAAATTGGGGGAAATGGAAATTAAGGGTTAGGGATTGATAGAGAATTGGGAATGAATACCTGATTAATGATCACGTGAGGAGCATGAGGCGTTAATTACCATCAGGAGAGATGAGCCAGGATCACAGCAGCAAGCCCAGTTGATGGCCCTTTAGTTGAGAAAATATCAAACGGTTATTTAGAATCTACAGCTTGTATTAGTTAGATTTGCTGGTACCATGTAAACAAATAAAACAGTACTGTGTAAAGGGACAATTAAGCATTATTTTTGAATGAAAAATCCTCTTTCTGTATCTCTATTCTGCTCCTTACTCTACGATTCTTCTTCTCTATTTCCCTAAATTATCTTATTCATCACAGATATACCAAGAACTTAGTGCAGCAAACTCAGCAACAAATGCGTGCAATCCAGTCTCAATTGCAGCCACATCACCAAAATGCTCTTCGAATGGCCCAGCAAGTATGTATAGCTTGTGTCACTAGACTTGGATTTATCATTAGCAAGCTGGATTTTTATGGTTTCAACTTTCTCTTAAATCTTTATGGTTCTGGGCTTTTTCTGATTTTACTGTTGCCATTGTCTTTGGGGAGATTACATTGGATTCTTTGAGTGTGCAGCAATTGATTTGTGGAGTTATGGATGAAAACTTAGAAGAGATGCTCCTTGATTTAACTTATCTCTTGTATTGCGTTCTTTACCTTTTTAATGAATTCTTTTGCATGTTATGCTCTACTTAACAACAATTGTTCGCTAATTTGATGGTGTAGCTTCAGATGACACGACAAATGCATCCGCAGTTGCAGCAAATGCTTCGTTCTCAAAAGTCAAAACTTATCATTTCAGCAGAAGCAGCAGTTGGAAAGAATGCTTAGGCGCCACCCATCCACCGCCTGTCCTGGTATGGATATGGCAGATAAAGACCGACCTTAGTGCGAGTCAAGCTTGAAAACCCATCGGAGCTGCCCACGGATAACAATGTGTTCAATCCTATCAATGCCCGACATCAGCAAATGCAATTCCGTCAGCAGCAACTCCCCGCAATGTCAAGTATGCATTCTCAATCCAACAATCAATTCAGGCAGTTGACGTCTCCACAAATTCCTCAAGCACCGTAAGAAAAGCTCGGTTGGAGAATTTAAAAATATTCTAACTCGATAATATGCTGAATTTTAACATCTTTCATTGATGCATTCAGGAACACGAGTATTGTTAGAGCTCCTCCGGTGAAGGTCGAAGGCTTTTCAGAATTGATGGGTGGGGATACCACCTTGAAGCACAAATCCGAGGAAAATAAGCTGACCTTGCCGACCGCCACCATGTAAGTACTTTTCGAAGTACGGTTGTCTGAGCAGCCTGCTTCAATGTTTTGTATCATTTTTTGCTACAAAGATAAGATGCTATATTTCTATATGCCTATAATATGTACAGTTCGAACAATTAATTCATGATCTTAGAAAGTCTGAATTCTTTAATGCCCATGAAAAATGCATTTCAATTTGATTTTTTTTCTTAACTGTGAAGTGTGATGATAAACTATTATTAAATTAAGGTTTAAGTATAAAATATGCCTATTTTCACGAATCGGTGCCTATAGTATTTTTCGGCCTATCTAGGTGCCTCCAATTCATGAAGATCTGAACCGGGAATTGAAAAGGCATAAAAAAAACCTTCTTTTGGTATATGTATCAACACTAATGGTGGCTGAAATAGCATGGTCGCGTAGGCGGCGGTGATATCAACATAAGATCTATAAAATTTGAAGTATTTTTCGATTGAATAGACATTGGATTCGCGTTAAGAATGGTGAGAGATGTTTGGTGTAAAATTTTGAGAATAATTGGACTCCAACGATGGTGGCCGATGGTAGTAAAAAAGGCGACCAATGTGGTGGCCGAAACCTATGGTATTCAGGTTTGAGAAGATAAATTGAGATAAAATGAGAAAGAAGAATAAGGAAAAAGAGGGAAAATAATGAAATAATAATAATTTTTTATTTAGATTAAAACAATGTTGTTTTGATTTAAAATTTATTTTTTACAAGAATTCAAAACTACGTTGTTTTGATGTTAGTTGTTATATCATAATGTAATTAATTTTATAATGGCAAAATGATCAAAATATGAGTAATTCGAAAGTGTAATGAATAAATTGATTTTTTTAAATTTTAGTGACTAAAATAAGAATGAAAAGATAGTTTTGCGGTGAATGGTATAATTTACCCCTAATATATTAGTGGAATGGATTTTACGAGGATCCATCATATTTTGTATTTAGTTGGATAGTGATTTAAAATAATGTCACATATATTTAATGACCTTCATAAATTATAATGTGTGACATTATTTGAATGGTTAGTATAAGCCATGCAGAGGGAAGTGATGTCCGGCATGTTATTAAATTATGCTTTAAATATCTCATATACTCGCACGAACTAAATGACCGTAATGGTTAAAAAAATTATTATTATTCGTTGAGATATCGAGTTCGAATATTATGTTTATAGGAGTGTGAGCATTCATTATCGAATGATTAAGAGTAGTCTTTGAACAAACAATGTATTTATCCTAGATCATACGCTCAAGTTACTGACAAACAATGAGTAAACGTGAATTATATGCTCAAGTGACATGCTTGTAAGTAAACGTGAATTTATGATGAATTGAAGAAAAATATAAAAGAAGTTAAAAAATGTTCATGCATATGTATGATATGGAATATGAACACGATGTTGAGGATGAGGTTATATAAAACATGCATAATGAATTATATGTCATTAGATCATTGTTGTTAGGTGTGTAAATGAATTAAGGTTGAATAAATAAGATTGTGTTCGTTTTGTTTATTTTTGAAGGTGTTTATGTTCGATTTATTTTCATTTAAATTTTTAATATCTTTATTTTTTTTGAAGGTTTGTCTAGCATTCATGAACATATTCATTTGTAAGCTAAAAATGGTAAAAGTATGTCACTAGTGCTTAAACTCTTTAAGCTTCATTATTTAAACTTCAAATTTCACCATGTGTACAATTTAATTCTTATACTCATCAATATTTAAAAATATAAAAAAAGTAAACGAGCTTCAAAACAAGCCATTAAATGAGTCGTTGATCGGTCGTCGATTGGTCACGATTTCATAGGGGTTTTGATCACCAGGGGGAGGTGAGGTCGGTTTGATCTTTGTCGACGGGGGCCGGCGTGAGTTTAAGGGTTGAAATGAAGATTTTCAAAGCTTTGGGTTTATTTCAAAATTTCTGTATTTTATTTTTAAAAATATATATATAATTTTATTTTTTAAATTTTAGACAAAAAAATTTAAAATCAGCAGATTGTGACATGTGTCACTTAACGAGGAAAATTAACGTCGTTGACGGCACGAGCACCTAAATAGGTAACGTTTGAAACGTTAGGCAGCGGGATGGACTGAAAAATACTGTAGACACCTATTTGTGAAAATATGTATAGTTTGGTCACTTATTTTATACTTAAGCCTTAAATTAAAGCCAGTTGAAATCAATTTTCTCTAAGAAAGCAGTTCACAGATCGAATATCTGCATCTTTTTATTATTTTTGGACTCGAATTTGGTTAATTGCTTTGCGATTCATATAAGCTTAGCACTTGACACAAAATAAAAATATGGGTAAACTACTATGTCGGTCATCCAACTATTAACATGTTTTAAATTTAGTCACCAAACTAACTTTTTTTCTGATTTTGTCACTAATGTTTTAAAACCTTATAAATTTAGTCATCCATTGTTAAATGATTAATGAATTATTGACTTGTTTTATTTTAACCTATAATATTTATCTATTCTATCAATTTGTTCATAATTATAAATAATTTAATCCTCATGCATTATGATTTCTGTCATCTTCATCCTCATATTGTCGATTAAATCATGTGGCGGCAGTCTATTTCTTCTTTTTCTTCTTCTTTTTTCAATTTAGACCAAAGATGAATTTTCCTTGGAGTGTTTGAGAAATATTTCAGATTGAAAGAAACCGGTGAAGATGTTCAGTGTTTCTTGGAGTCACCCAAAAAAAGTTTTCAAAGACAAAATTGGCATGATCAACCTTAAACACTTTCCGCATATTTTCATTATGTACGCTAAGTTCAATGACATTATCACTGTAGAAATATTTTTTTCTTTTCATACGAGATGGGGGTAGCTAGTTAAAAACCCCTAATCTATATGCCAAAATTAAGGGATGTTTTTTGGATAATTGAAATCAAGGTTTTATCAGTGAGTACCAATGGTGCCAGCTAGGTTCAGTATGGTTCTTTCGAACTGGTTTGATTGCGGTAGACTCTTGTGGGCAGGCATGGATTTCTGCAGCAAGGAAATTAAAGCAAACGATTATCTTACATGATGGATATAAATAAATGAGAAAAAGGAAACAATCATAGTTGAAAATTTATTTAGGTACCTGTAGTCACCCCTCTCGTGCATGGTACCAAATTCATGGCTTTACTGCTGTTCTGAGTAAATGCTTGCTTCTTTTATATCCTTGAATGGATTACTCTGCGACCGAAGAAGGAAAAAAGTTATTAAAGCTCCTTTCTTCATTTAAAAAAAATGAAAAAGAGAATGTCTCCCCATTCCTTCCAAAACCTTGTTAAGCAAGTCAAGTAACTGTAAACACATTCCGCTCAAGCTATGTAAGATAGGTAAAGCGAGCAGAAAGTCAAAAACAGTGAAAGTCGTACGAGTAAGGATAGGTAAAGAACATGATTAATGGAGCGCTCAAAAAACACTAGTATTTGAACAAAGGAGAATGTGTACTTGCCTCGAGATTTTCAGCTAGAGTGGTTCCCTTGATTAGTGGTCACTACCTCTATAACCGACCAGGAACTCAAAGATGTGTGAAAAACTGTTCCCTTGGTGCCAGCCTAGTATAAATGTTTCAATTGAAGAAGTTACCCCTGGTTTTATGCATCAAAACAGCATGCCAAAAGGAATGATGCATTCTTCAATCTGTGCATCAAGCGCCCATCCAGAAGGAAAAGTAATGCACTGGCCTCCTTTTCAGTAACAAAAAGGTAAAGAATCTATGCACCTTCAATTAACATTGAATATGTAGTAGGATGGAGCTGGCAGCCCATTTTTTCCATGATACTTGAGATATCAGTGCATCTATCAGCTAGCCCCTTTCTAAGTAAGCCATCAACAAGAATCTTCCAAGCTACTTCATCACAATTATAACCACAACGAAGCAAGTTACCAAAAGTTTTCTCAGCCTTCTCCTTATCCCCTTGATCATACAATCCGCAAATCAGTTGCCTGTAGGAATCCAGATGTGGTAACTGACTAGCATCATCAAACACTCCCAACTCACAGGAACAACTAAGAATAGAATTGTAGACATCTTCACCAGGATATATTCCTTGATCTCTCGTATGATCAATTAGCTTTTGCTCTTCTACAAATCGGCCAACTCTACAATGTCCTATAATAAGCTTGTTGTAAGTGTTAGCCTTGGGTACACAACCATGTCGGCGCATTTTATCAATGACTAGAGAAATGTCAAATTCCATTGACTTCCAGGCACCAGCGTGATTAACCAACATGTCTGACATGTCATTATTTAGTGCTTAAGTTATACAAGTAGAGGGATAGTATTACCTGCTCCTTTCAAACTCAACAAATCTTCTCTTGTCAGATGAAACTGTGGGGAAACAAACTGAAAATCTGAAAAATGTTACTAGCAGTTATGAGCTTCATAAGAAACATTGGGAATCAGCAATCAATAATTTACAAGAGAAAATAAAGGTAAAAAAG